CTGGCGGCCTAGGGGTTAAGTCTCAGTGCTATCACATTATCATCAAGGCCTCAGTTCGATCCCTGGCCAGGGAGCTGACCCACATGGCGCAGCAGACCTCTCCTGTTTCACCTGCTACTCCCCTCAGCAGTGTATTTCAGTGCATTTGCCTGTTCTATTCTCCACTGTGTCTCTGGTGAATCCTCTCACCCCCATCACCCCACCCCACACTTCTGGTCTACACCAGATTCATCTATGCATAAATAAATAAATTTTTTTAATAAAAAAATAAAGGAGACTGGGGAATTGAGTATTGGGCTAGCCCACAGAGCCCCTTTTGTGTAGAAGAACTGGGGTGTAGGCAAGAGGTGCGGGGGAATCTGGTGAGAAGGTTTGCCAGAAATAGAATGGGGAACAGAAGAGGTAGATCTACTGAAATACACTGCTGAGGGAAGCAGCTGGTGAGACAGGAGAGGTCTGTTGCTCCATGTGGGTCAGCTCCCTGGCTGGGCATTGAACTCAGGACTCAGTTGGTGATAGCCCAGAGACTTAACCGCTAGGCTACCAGGGAGCCCCATCATCTTTCTCATTTAAAGAGGGGCCAGGCACATGGTTCTCACCAATGAGACATTAATGAAAACCAGCAGCCTGGGGTAGAGAGGGTATTCTGGGGAAGGCTTTGCTTTCCAGAAAAGAAAGATAAGGGCCCTCCCTGTTGGCACAACAGGTTAAAGTGCAGCACTATGAAGCTATCCACAGCCTCTGCAGCATGAATGCAGCACCCTTCAGCCAGGGGGGTGACCCATAGGGCACAGCAGACCTCTCCTGTCCTGCCTACTGCTCAATGGATTTCAATGGATCCACCTGTTCTGCTCCCCACTCTGTATCTGGTGAATCCTCTCATCCCCTCTAACCTCTGGCCTATACCCCAGTTCTTTCATGCATAAATAATTTTTATTTTTTTAAAGACAAGTCTCACAGGCACAGTACCTCCCTGGCCCTCCTGCTGCCCCTTCGAGCATGAAGGAAGACTGAACCTGCACCTGCAGCTCTACCTCCAGACTTGTGTGTGGGGATAGTGAGCCCCAGTCCCACCTGGATCACCAGCCACAGGAGGCCTGGGGAGGAGAGAGCCAGGCAGAGGGAGAAGGCCTGAAAATGGGCACTATCTTGGCATGTTTGAGGAGGAGAACAAAGCTCATGTGTGGCTGGAGAAGGCGTGAGGTCTTGCAAAGTTATGGCACCCCTGGAAAGCCGACTGGGTTTTATCTGAAGCACAAGGCAGGCTTTCAGCAGGAGAGTGGCACACTCTGATTTCAGTTTCTTCAAAGACCCTCCTAGCTATGATAAGAATAAATGAGGGGTTGCTAGTGGGTCAGACACTGCTTTGGCACTTACCCAGCAGCTTTCCCCACTCTTGAAACCTTCTGCTCTAGAAGCTGGAGGAGGTCCCATTGCTGGTCTCTGGTGCATTTGGAGTGACCACAAAACCCTGGTCTGGCTGTGAGATGCGGTGGGGAGGACTTTCTTCCCGATAAAAGGGGACAGCCTCCGGCCCCCATCCTCCTCTGCCTGCAGTGCAGAAAGGGCCACTGGCAGTGCAGGGGCCCCTGGCCACACTGAGGCCACAGGCTAGGCTGGCAGAGCAAAACCATGGTGCCTAGTCTGGGGAGATGCCACACTTCCTATTTACATTAAAGAGCAGTAGCAGGGTCCTCCCTGGTGGCACAGTGGATTAAAGCACAGCATGAAGAAGCTAAAGCCACTTTAGCATGAGTTCGATCCCAGCCCCAGAGGTGACCACGTGGTGCAGTAAAACTCTCCTGACCAGCCCGCTGCTCCCTTCAGCAGTGTACTCATCAGTTGGCCTGTTCTGCTCCCCACTGTGTCTCTGGTGAATCCTCTCACCGCCCCTGCACCTCTTGCCTGTTCCCCAACTCTGTATGCATAAATAAACAAATTTTACAAAAAAAGTAGTAGCAGTCCCCTTTTGTGTAAGCCGCTACAAATGGTGCTTTCTGTTACATGCAGAGTGGGTTCACTGGTGTTGCGTAGGCATCAGCTGAGACCCGCAGAGACGTGACTGCTGGGTGCAGGTGACAGAGGGGGCTTGGACTGTGCGATTGTCTCCCTCAGGGCTTTCCATTTCTAGTCTTGGTTTCCTCTAATTTGCCTTCCACCCTCTCACACTTTCTAAATCCATCTCCACACTTGGCTGAAATGCCTTGCTGGCTCTCCATTGCCTACATGATACAAAACGAAGCTCCTTTGCCTGGGACACAGCACCTTCTGTGACTTGTCCCCACCTTTTGTCGTCTGCTCCCATTCTTGCACTTCACACCCCTCCAACAAGACACCCCACTAGTAGCAGGCATTGTCCACTCATCATTCCTAATCACCAGGCCCGAGAGTGGGGACCACACATCTTAGTATCAGACAAGGCCTCGTGCTCAAGGCAGTGAGGTGACTTGGCCAGGGCTACCCACCCCCGATCACGATTTAAACTCTCGTTCTGCTCCCAAAACAAATTAGAGGTTTCATTTTCTCACTTTCCCGGAGGCCTGGAGAGAGGTGACTGCTGGGCTGCTCAGGTGCTCAAAGGTGCCGGAGCACCTCAGGGCCTCCTGATCTCCCCCGTCTGCCACTTCAGAGGCCTGCTTGTGGCAGCCCAGCTCTTGACATCCCCTTCCAAATCACAACCAGGAAGAAGGGAGAGAAGAAAAGGCCACACCATCTTAACCTGCCTACGCCTCCCCTTCCTGTGGTGATGAAGGCTTTCCTATAACCCCCCAGCACACTCTTGCCTATGGCTGCCCGGAGAAGCAAGGAAGGCTGGGAAATCGGGAAACTGGTTGTTTCCTGACTTAGAGGCTGAGCCCACTGCCGCCTTCACCAGAGCTACAGTTCTGTTAGCCAAGACGGGCATCAGATACCAGACAGACCTGCCACCGCCACCCTGCTCAGCAAAGTGGAAGCACCTGCCCATCTCGCCTGTTCCATGTCTGCCTGTCCTACCTTGCGCTGAAGTGGGAAGTCACCCGGGCCACTGAACAAGTTGCCCACAGTAATAGTCACGGTCATCATGACCCCTCCTGGTGTTCTCCAAGACTCCTGATAAACTCAGGCTGGCAAAGCTACCTCACACCTGTGCTGCCAGCTGTCACTCAAGCATGGCAAGTTTCCACATACAAACTGTATGAAACCCCACCGTTCCTGCTCTTCGGGGCCCAGCCTATTGGGAGCTAGCCCACTGAGTCCGGGGGTGACAAGTAAGCCTCTCTCTCCACCTCTCTGAATGCCTCTGATTTCTCGGGGGGAAAAAAAAATGGCCCTGACAGTACATTTCCTACAGGATGAAAGACGAACCTCCTTCGCCTGACACAGCACCTTGGTGATTTGTCCCCACTTTCTTGTTGGGCATCTTCTCCTTTCCTATCGCAGGGTAGTTTCCACGAGGCTCCAGTCTCCCCCAAAGCCAGCCCTGGTATGCACCTACTTCCATCACAAGGATACCACTGTCTTTGAGCAACTGGTGTAAACGACTGCTCGTTCAGTCTCTCTGTGAACGTTTACTGAGCCTTTGCTATATGCCAGGCCTACAGCGTCAGGAGTTGGGGGATTCACTGTGAACAAGTTCCATTCTGAGCTTTGGTGCCTGCCCTGTGTTGCCTTCCGACTGCCAGCTGAGCTGGGCAGACAGCTCAGGTGTGGTGAGCTAAGCAGCCCAGCTTCCGAACCAATGGCTGTGTCCAGCCGGCTGATCACTCACCTCTCCCTGCAGGACCCAGCGCTAGCTCCCACGCCGGACACACCGTGAGCTGTATGTGTTCTTTACTCAGGAAGGCTTTGAAATGTATTTGAGATGAAACACATTTATTATTTCTACCGGGAAACCCCCCAGAACAAGCCACTGTACTGTCACAGTTACATCATGCACTCAAGCACCTTGAGAAGCTCTGTGCACTGTCCCTGCGTTGCCACAGTAATCTGGGGGGGCTCTCAGTGTCTCACACAACACTTCACATGAGGCCCTCAGTGGGTGTGTGCTCCCCACTGAAGGCGCCATTTGGATTCTCTAAACAGGGAGACCTCATTGTCAAAGCCCTCGCTACAGAAGTGTGATTCTGAAAGTGCTTAGAAAAATTCCTCAGGTTTCTATCCGTAGCGTTTTATATATATAGTCTGTATAGTTCTCTAAATGCCCTGTTTTGTTGCCCTGTCTACTACAGATGATAGCAGCTGGGAACAAAATAGAGCAAGAGAATTAAAAATAAGACAACCCCCCCACCCCTTGGTCTGTGCTTCTGTTGCCATGGTGATGTGGACATGTGATACCCAGGTGAGAGGTCCTTCATTCAGCAGAGCCAATGGGCTGTGAGGCCAGAGAGGTGGGACCCAAACATGGAAACTTCCCTGCCTCCCAGGCCCAGAGAGGACTCCATCAGGCCAAATGGCCCACTCCGGCCTCTTAGCTGGAAATTAAATGAATGAACATGTATTCTCCTAAATCCTCCAGAGCAAAGCCCACCACCTCAAGTCACCCTTGAGGCTCATGTTGCACAGTATTCATGACTTGGAGTGAGGGTTCTATGTCCAAGTTTGCCTTTCTTGCTGTCCTTCCAGCCCAATTACGCTTATCATTGCTGCTATTGCAATAAAAGTTAATCATCACCTGTAAGCTCTGTTCAGCCACCCATGAGGTTAAAAGACAGAAACCACTAGAGTTGAGGTCTCTGCTTGTTTAGGGGTCACCACAAGCAGCTATGCTCCTCTTAGGGTCGCCACGCCCATTCTTTTATCCACTCTTGGCTTTTGGGGGGGGCCGGTGGGTAACAGTGGGCACCATGGAGGTTCTTGTGGGAACAGCCCAGCCCTCGAGTCTAGAGGCCTACCCTGAGAGAAACAGGCTCGTGGCCTACAGGTCAAGTGAGACCCCAGCAGCCCTCCCATGAAGAATGCCTTCTCCCCTCTGAGTGAAAGAAAGCAGGGAGAACAGGAAAAGCTGTTTTTAATGAGTAGTTTTAAAAGCCTTTGCAACAGCAGACAGTCCAGGGCAGCTTGGAAACCCACAGTGACAGTACCAGGGCTCTCCTGCATCCAGATGACCCTGCAAAATAGAAATCACTGTGCTAAATCAGGAATGTGACTCTTCCCACCTCACATTAACAACAACAAAAAAAGCCCAACCTTCTACATCATTGCAGAATCACCCTGCCAGAAAACATGGGATGGTCCTATAGGCACAGCCTGGCCTCAAGGGAAAGGGAGCAAGGAAAGCATGCCACCCCAGTGTCCATAGGCAGCGGGAACCCCCTCAATTCCCACCATCAAGGGTGTAGATGTCCGAAGGCTGCCTTAAGGGAGCAAGGCCTGGATGCACTGTCTCATCGCCACTTCCCTGTAGTCTGCTCAGCACATGCTGCTCTCCATCCTCCCAGTTCCTTTCACTAGACTAAAAAGCTAGATCTCGCTTCCTGCCACAGACATGCTAGACAAACCCTGGGCCTCTCTTCACAGTCCCTAATTCCCCAAAATAGTGTCAAGAAAACTAAACACACTCGCATGAAACTTCAATTCCTCTGCTTGGTTTGTTCACACCCTGGGCCTATAAGCCAGTGCTTATTTTCACAAGAGTACAGAAGTCTGTGTCAGTAAGCGAGGTTAACACCCACCCGGAGGCTGGATTCTTTCTGGTCTTTCTCAACAGCTGAGCATCATGGTATTGCTAATTAAGCTGCTTTCTTCTCCTTAATGAGCTGCATGTGAATCTTGTTGGGAAGTCTTGGATCCGTGAAATAATCTGGGATAAGAATCAAAAAGAAATCATCTAAAACCAAGGGGGAGAGACTGGGCAGGAGAGACAGCTTACTCGGCTAAAAAGTTAGGATGGTTCCGTCTTAGCAGTTGCTGGTGGCCCCCACTTTACACCACAATATGAGCCGTCACAGCAAACCCCCAGGGTCACTGTGCCCCGCCCCATCAGCTCCGAGTGAGCCAGCTCAGTCAGTCCCAGGAAGAGCTCACAGGGGATGGCTGTGCCCTCAGCCCTTTGCCTGCTGAGCCATCAGAGGGCCGAGGGCTGAGGAGTCTCTAGGTTTTCTGCTCCTGGGCTCATTGTGGGGCCCAAATAAATGCCAAGTGTTATTCTCGTCTCAACACAGCTTGCCAACTCCTGTCTCTGAGATATCACGCCCTCTCTGTGAATATCCTCTCAGAGGACAGCCAGGCTCTGGCAGGATGACGACAGAGAGGGTTTTTATACACCCAGCATAATGTGAATCAGAGGCAGCATCTGCTGTGGCAGCAAAGACATACTTAGATTCAGTTAGAAATGGTTTGAGGACATAACCAACCCCCAGGGCTAACAGGACCCAAGAAATCCTCCCAACAGGCCCTTCCTTCTAAATACCACTGACCCCCCAGCCATCTGGGGCAGTGGAGCCCATTAGAATCACCTGGGGAGCCTTTACAGTGCGTGCTAGGCCCCACCCCAGGCTAATTAAATAAAAATCTCTGGGGGTGGGCCTGGGTGTAGGTATTTTTTAAAAGCTCCCTAGGTGATTTTAATGTACAGCCTGGTGGAGAACCAGGCTTTAAGATTTCCAGGGAAAACGCTGCCAGTATGTTCCGCTGGGAATCACAAAATTCTTAACGACCCTCACCAGGAGAAAGTTCTGCCTCATTTCTTATCTGCCCTCCTTTTGAGGAAATGACAATGGATGAAAGAGTCTTGTGCAAAAAGCTCCCTTGGGAGGCTTAAGGTGAAGAAGCACCCCAGCTTCAGCAGGCAGAACCCTGGGCTCATCTCTCTGAATTCACTTGATGGTCTCCCACTGGCTTACTCACCTGCAGCAAATTCCAGGATGTTGTCTGGTCTTTTCAAAAACATTTCTCTGGAAGACATTAAGGGGTGAGGGGAGATAAGCTGAGCTTTCAGGAAGCAGACCCACCTGAAACGACTGCCCATCTCGGGAGTCAGTGAGCTGGGCTCCTGACATTCACAACCTTGCTTCAAGCCTGGAGCAATATCCTGGGTACTAGCTCACTGGTACAAAGTCAGTGCTACAAGGTCAAGTTTGTCAGTCATTCAACAAACATTTTCACAGAGCCAGGTACCAAGTCATCTGTAGAGGTGAAGAGTCTGCAGCCTAATTTTTTTTTTATTCAAATGAACTTTTTTTTTTTTTAATTTGCTCATACAGATGCAGGGGTAGTGAGAGGCTTCATCAGAGACAGAGTGGGGAGGAAAACAGGCAGATCCACAAAGTACACTGCTGAGGGGAGCGTGTGTGTGCGTGTCTGTGTGTGTGTGTGTGTGGTCAGGAGCGGTCTGCCTCGCCATGTGGTCTCCAGGGTCGGGGATCGAACTCACACTGAAGCGGCTGTGCTAGCTTGCAGTGCTGCGTCCTAACCTGCTGTGCCCTGCAGCCTAATTCTTGTAGGACTCACGTGTGGTGGAAGATAGACAACCCACGGTTTGTTTTTTTAAAGATTTTTACTTATTTATGCATAAAGAGCTGGGGTACAGGCCAGAGGTGCAGGGGGGTGAGAGGCTTCCCAGAGACAGAGCCGGGAGGCAGCTCCAGAAGGCGCACAGCTGAGGTCTGTCATGCCTTGTGATAGCCCCCAGGGCTGGGGGATGACTGAGGCCATTGCTGCTAGGCTAGCTTCTGCCCTAACGCTGCTGCGCCACCAGGGAAGGCCCCACCCCACAGTTTTCTGTGTAAGTTTAACAAAGTCCCACTGGGCTGGGCCAGAGAAGACCATAAACAAAGCTGAAAGGTGGACTTCAGGCAGTACTGGTCCTGCAATAGCCTGGGTCGCACTGCGGGCTCGCAAAGCCGCCTGTCCCATGGAGCGCTATGGTTCAGGATGCGTGTTTTACCAATATTTTCTCAGTTCCAACAGCCCTGTGAGGGGATGAGGATTACGCCCCCTTTTTCCATATGAAGAAACCAAGTCTTCAAAAGATGAAGCACTTTCCCAAGTTTATAGAGCAAGTAAATAAAGGAAGAAGGACCCATGTCTCTCCAGGGCCCGTGCTCCCTCCAGCAGTCCCTGGCTCCAAAGCCAGGACACCTGACTCTTAAGCTGTAGGGATTTGATCCCTTTTCCCTTCAGTTCAAGTTAGTAATCATAAGGCACCAAGTGTGTGTGAGTTGCTGTGCTAGATATGAGGGGCTGAATTTTATAAGAATATAAAATATTCTTATTCACCTCAAAGAAACTACAGTCAAGTAAAAGGTAAGTTCCCAAATGTCCAAAAGGTTAAGTAAACTCCGGGAAATACTACAAGAGCAATAAAACAGTGTGCCAGGATTCAGAGGAGACAGGCTGCTGAGTAAAGCACCTCAAAAACCTCCACAGAGTGACTGGCATTTGAGGTACACACAGGATGTCAGAAAGCAGAATGAGGTCTCAGAAAGAGCATTCCAAGACCTAGACACTCTGCGAGAGGCAAGGCCTAGAAATGAGTAAACAGCCCATGTTCTGGAGACATGTGTCCCTCCAGAGTAGGAATGGGTCATGTCCATCTCTATCTCCTTTTGTACCCCTGGGGTTCAGAAGTGCACTCACGGAGTGTCTGGGTCTCTCTACAAGGTCAGTGGAATGGCTGCAGCAGTTTGGGCTAGCTGGAGAAAGGGTGTGTGCAGGGAGAAGTGGGAAGCTAAGGAGGCCCATGAATGCCAAGGAGACAGACCCAAGTGGGAGATGATGGGGACAGGCGGATAAAGCAAGGTGTAGTCACACAGCAGTGAGGACAAAGCACCCGCAAGACACTATCGAACAACAGAAGCCAGGCACACAAGGGTGCCTATGGTAGAGTCCTGCTTCTATAACGCACAAAGAAGGCAAAGGGAAGCTAGAAGTCAGGGTTCTGGCTCCCTGCTGGAGGGCAGTGACTCGAGGGGCCACAGAGGGCCTGAGGTGCTAGTCAGGTTGTTTCTTCACCTGGACGCGAGTGCCAAGTGTGCACTCAGCGTGCGTGCGGGAAGTTCACCCAGTGAGGATATGCCACCTTCCTGTACTTTGCATTTCAAAAGAATGTTTATAAGAAAGAACAGCATTGTGGATCTACTGAAGATTTCCCAGCTAAGGGATCATGTGATCAGTACTGTATTTTGGGAAGATTCATTTACACAAACTTCCAATAAAGCCTATCATGACACACTTTGCTGCCGTCTCTCTACCCTAAACATGAGGTCATGTTTTAGGTGCTTAAAATTAGATCCCTACTCTTTCCACTTTTCATATCCAAAATCCAAGGCATGAAGTGTCCATCCAGAACATGGACTGGAGAGCTGTGGCTGAATGGTCCTGAATCATTAGGGCCTGAAATCCCAGATGACAGCTGCACTCCCGCAAGCCCAGTTTGGAGTTTCTAATGGCTCAAGGCCCGCAGCAGGGTTAAGGACTGGCAAGCAAAGCAAAGTGTGCAATAGGCCTCATCCTGGTATTACCCAGAGGAAAAAGTAAAGCGAAGACAAACCATCAAACTTCAAACACTTCCTCTCCCCCCCACCCCTCTTCCAACCCAGATAGAGAAAGGCCTAAAAGGGGCCAGGGTGATTTCACCTCTTTGGGAAGCTTCAGAGACAACAAAGGAAAAGCCAGGTAGCCCACCTGGCCTGGGCAGAAGGAGGATGCGGAAGGGGAAGAAGTTTGGATGCCCCTGCCAGGCAATGCCACCCAGCTCTGCCTCCAACTAATGTGTGCAGAGAGCCGGGCCATCCAGACAAGTGACTGAAATACCTTCCTCTTCACCCCAAGGGATCTCATCCTTCTTGTGAACAAGGAAGAGGGAGATTTAATTCAGGGTTTTACCATCTACCCCATCTCCCTGCTGGAATCATTCCTAACTTGGACTGTAAGCTCCCCAAGATAGGACCCTATCATCCTTCATTTTCCCTGAGATAGGACCTTCATTTTCTGTTAGAAGAAACAGTGCAAAACGGGAAGGCCTGATCCCCAGGGCTGACAATGACAGAGAACCCCTAACTATCCTTTGCCTGAGTTTCACTCCCAGTGCAAATACAGCCAACTTCACGAACAGATTTCTCTGTCTCCCCCACCCTCTCCCATATGCCCTCTGAGAATCTGCTGCCACTGGAGACGTGGCTAACATACAGGGAATAGTGAGATGCGGGAAAAACAAAGGGGCCTTGAAAACAGACCTCTTTGGATCTGCTTCTGAGAAGGGAAGGAAGGAAGGACAGTCCCGTCTCTGGTGCCCAGCTCCCAGGTGCTTACAATACAACACATTGGAAACGCCAGGGCTTGGGATCCAACTTCAACAACTGGGCAAAAGCACCTCTCCTCTCCTTAACTTTTCTGACCTGTAAAAGGGAAGCAATAATAAGCTATCTGTCACAGAATGGCTGGGAGGATCAGCAAAAGAACACTGAGAAGCCACATACCGGGAGAGCCCTGGGGACACAAACAGAGCTCCACAAATAGAGCCACGATTCAGGGGGACAGGAAGAGACCACTGACAGTGTTTACCGTACATTGTGATAACTGCTAACATAGGAGACCACGGCACAGCCAGAAAAGGGAAACCGTTATTTTTTTAACGACTTATTTATTTGTTTATGCATACAGAACTGGCATTCAGGTCAGAAGTGCAGGGGCGGTGAGAGGATTCACCAGAGACAGAGTGGGGAGCAGAACAGGCAGATTCACAAAATACACTGCTGACGGGAGCCGTGGGCCAGACAGGAGAGGTCTGCAGCGCCATGCGGGTCACCTCTGGGGAGGGGACTGAATGGAGCTCTAGCTGAAGTGGCTACAGCTAGCTTCCTAGCTGAGCATTGTGCCACCAGGGAGGGCTGGAAACCATTATTATTTAAACCTTGCCTATTTGTCTAAAACCAAGCAGGATTTGAGACAGCTTACTGTTTTCATTCATTGCTACCCCATGGTTTTTTTAATTTTATTTTTTGCTTTAGTTCTGTGCCTTTGATCCCATTAGGACATTTTCTTTTCTCATTCAAGCAAATCCCATGCCGGCAGAATATGCTCCAGGATACCTGGAAAATGGTCTTCTTTTCCCTAAGTCTTAGAGGGGAGTCTCTAGAACAATGTTCTGAGGTAGAGAAGGGTCACACATGTGAATTTTTAAGTTCCAGTGATCTTGTTAAGCTGCCAGAGTTAGCAGATAATGTTCTCCACCCAATGGCTGCCTGTTGAGTTTCTCAATGCTTTCAGGGGTCATGAAGTATATATCATTACTGCTAACGGGGATGACTATTAGTATCTTTGAGAATTTAAAGATAAATTAAGCAAATCTCTAGCTTAATAGCTGAAGAAACCCTACTGGGTACCACATCCCAGAGTTAGAAAAAATATCACATTTCCTAACGTTAGACTCTTCAGAAAGCAATAGGAAGTATTTATAGGAAGAAGACACACTCATCTATACCCAACAAGATCCAGTAAAATTTTCCATTAGTTCCTCTAGACCTTTCGGGAAAAATGACCTACCTGAAAAAACCACTTATGAGCAACTCCACTTCTTTGTGGGTCCTGAGGTACTTTTCGTTAGCAATCCGAGTCTGAATCTGGGGGGTGGGGGGCACAAGAGCAAAGGGTCATGTTCCATGAAAAGACTGATTTCAGGGTTCAAGCTCTGGAGATGTGAAGGGCTGCAGGAAGCAACGTGTGGGCAAACCGAGATCTTTTCCCAGTATTCTTGAAACTTTAAGCCACCCATCACTTACAGACCAGTAGTGTCTCTAAGCCGCTGTGGCTGCCCAGGCACAGTGTCCGTAACTGAGGGCAGGTCCCCACTGTCGGGAAGTTCTTGTTTGTATCTAAGTTAATGTATCTGGCAGTAATTTCGGTCCATTTCTCTAGTCAGATCCTGTTTTAGTTATTCCTGCACTTTCAGGTGCCTGTAAGACTCAGTTCAGGGGCTCCCCAAAGCTCAGGGGGTCTGTCGGGGGGGTCTCCCCCAAGCTTTTCTCTTTCATCTGAGATAAAGCCCCCGCGCCCCTTCTCTTGGGGACCCTCCAAACGGGCCCTTATCCTAGGAGAGCAGCACTTTAATAGAGGCGGAGGGTGGGGCGCACCCACCTTGAACTTGCGCAGCTGTTCCAGCTGCGCGGGGCTCAGCGCGCCGGGATCCGACCCCAGCAGCCCGCCCTGAAGCGTCGCCATCTTGTCGCGGTTGTCAAGGCGACGGGGCCGCTCACAACGCGGCCCCGCCCTCATTCTGATCCCGCCCACAAACACGGCCCTTCCCAGAGCCTGGAGGAGGCGCTGGGGGAAGCGACGCTGGGTCTGCTCTGAAGCCTAGGAGTCAGATGGGGAGGGTCACCACAGAACCTCCTTCCCGGGCTTGTGGACTGAGTTCCGGGCTTGATTGTATTAGCCCTTCTACTTGACTCCTCTCAACATCAAAGAATTTTTTCCTCCCTAACTCTGAGCAAAACTGGATCCTGGAGTCAGGAACAGAATTTGGTCTCTGACTCTCTCACTGAGGTGAAAGTTGGAGGAAGCCTAGTAGTGGGAAAAGAATCCAGACCTCTTCCCTTCCCCGGACCCAGAAGCCTAACCCCGCCATCTGTCCTGACAGACAGAAATCTTGAAATCTTAAAACAACTTAAAAGCATCCCATAGGATGGAGTGTACTGACTTTTGCAAAGGAGGAAATGTTCTGAGATTTTAAATGCTGGAACAAAACATCTGGGGCACACCCTGCGTGAAGTTTGTCCTCGTGGAGTAGATTAACTTGCTCCTCATAAATCCTAAAGTATTTCTCCCACTCCCAATAGAGTAGAGGAGGGAAAGGCAGTTGGTCTTTAAGATGTGTTCTTCTAGTATCTAATTAAGACAGGGAAGTGAAACATAAAGCCAGAGAGCTGAAAATAGAGGCTTGGAAAGGGCAGGAGGCAGCCTGCCAATGCACACTTGCTGAGCCTCCACACCCCTAGAGATCATGCCCTGCAGAGGCTACTGAGAGGCAGAGAAGAAAACCCCAAAGGGAAGCTGTCTTTTTGGATTTGTGAACAACTGCCCCAAGGAGCAAAGAAAGGACATGAGAAATGAGCCCAGCATTAGGCCAAGCCTTGGAGGAGTCCCCGGGTGGTCCGCCTCTATCCTTTTCAGCAAAGACTGAGGTAAAGAAGGGAAAAGGTTGGCAGTTCTCAAGCCAGGAAAAACACACAAGAGGTAGATTAGGTAGTGGGCTACAGGCTGCCTCTCAGGGGCCCCATCTGCGTTAGTAATCATTTTGGTTGTTTATTTTTTTTAGGAGCGAGCTTTAATAGAGTGAGAGAGAGATAAGCTGCCATCTGTCAGGGGGATTTTTTTCAGGCAGAAACAGAGGTTACTCAGAGTGGGTACTTCCTGGAGGTCAAGGCCTTCTCTTCTCACCCCCTTGACCCACCCCTCACCCTCTTCCACCCTCTCAGAGAAAAAAAGTAGTGGATCCTCTAGAGCAGGAAGGTCATTGTAGCTCCAGGTGGCTACTGGTGGCTACCTAGCCCTTGGAATGTGGCTTTGGGTGTCAGATGCACCGGAAGTGTGAAATACCCACTGGATTTTGCAGACATAGTATAGAAAAAAAGTAAACTATTTCATTAATAATCTACATATTGAATACATGTTGAACATTTTGCATATCATATGTAAGCATATTGGATAATATTTTGAATAGATCAGTTAAAATGTTAAATTGAATTTCACTTTTTCTTACCTTTTTAATGTGGCTACTAGAACTTTTAAAACTATATGGCTTGCCCTGTATTTAATAGTGCTGATCTACATGTGCGCACACAAGCAGGTATGTGCACTGACCCCTCACCCCTCTCCTCTCATGCATAGTAGAGCAAATGTTTTCTTTCTACTTCATGGTCTTCTTGTGCATCAAGCAAAGCTTTTCTGACCAATCACATTCTATAACCCAAGTCCCAAACACCTGATGTGCAAACAAGAGAAGCTACTTTATTTTCTTACCAATGTTTCGAACTCACTATTGCTTTTGGTGTTGGTCAGTCTTAACTCTCCACTTGAAGTAGAAGCCGCTTGAGGGAAGGAAGGTTATATAATCTTTGTGCACATGCATAGATTTTGCTGCAAATGTCTTCACTCTGTTTTCAGTTAGTCAGGCCAACAAGGACTTGGTGCCCAGCCACCCTGCCCACACATCCCACCACTACATTTTGCCCTTACTGAAAAATACCCCAATTATCACCATTTCTCCTTTCCAAAAAACTGAAACCTAGAGTTGTCCCTTTATAAAGTCAATAATCTTTCTTGTGTAGGGCAGCCTCTCTTTGAGTGCAGAGAAGATTAATAGGTAGGGTGAGGTTAGACACAGGGGCAGACCAAGTACCTTGTAGGAAGTTGAGCTCTGAAGTTTCATCTCTGACTGGAGAGCAGCTCCCCAGAATGGGCCTCTGAGTCATAGGGTGTTTTTCCCCAGACTTGACTTCTGAGGGCTCTTCTTCCATGGTCTGAAGGAAAACAGATATACCGAGAGCCACCCAGAAAGGAGGGCCTAACAGATCTCCCACCTCCCCTAAATTCTGCTGCTTCTGTCAGACTGAAACCTGCTATCTGGGGACTACAAACTAAGCCAAGGATTAGAGGTGTTTTGCTGCCGGCAGCTGTCTCCCCAATTGCTGGCTGGGAGGAAGAGCAAGGGGAGTTCATTATAATTCATTTTTGTGAATGTTTAATATTTCAATTAATATGATTAGCCTGAAGCCTGAATGAGCAGCAGGGCGGCAGATCTGCTGACAAGACACAGAGTAATGAGATCAACAGGGCTGTAGGGTCTTCCTAGGCTCCATCCTCAGAGGGTGTGATCTGTTTAGCATCTCCATAAATACCAAGATCAGATTAGAAGCAAGAAGAGGGAGCAGTCCGGGCAGGGTGGGTCAGTGGAAAGTTACTTTCCAGATGTGTTTGCACTCTTGACTCCCTGGCACTGCCATCACGTACTCTGACTACTCCACACATGCTTTCTCCCACCCACCCAACTTAGGGGATGCTGCTGGGACACCCACTGGATGAAGGACAATCATGTCTACACACAAGCACACACACCTGCCAAAATCTGATTCAGGACACAGAAATCCAAGTTAAGGAAGGATGGAAGGTGGTCAACAGAAAATCCCTTGTAGTAGAAAGAACATCTCTCACTAGGGCTCAAATGAAGACACTAAAGGGAGAAAGGCAATGCTTAACCACTCTCCCATTCCCAAGTGGAGCATTTGATGTGGGAGTTAAACTTACAGGCTCAGATAGAGTCCAACTGCCCAGGGCTCTGCTCTCGGCAAGACCTCTTTCTGATTGTGACATTAGATGAGTCATCTCAACTGTCTGTGTCTTGGTTTCCTCATCTTTATGTGGAAATAATGATAGAAACTTCATCACAGTGATGCTAAAGTTTAAATTAGTAAACATACAGCACTTGGGACAGTGCCTGGGACACTGTAAGTGCTACCTGAGTGCAGTTACTTTCCTTCCAGAAGAAGAGCCTGCCTGCCTTGACAGCTGACCAGTGGGGGCTGCTAGGGTTGGTTGGGACATATTTGGGGGAGACATCAACCCCTATGGGAGAAGAATGACAGTAGGCAGGGTGCTCCACAATTGTGAGACCTGGTGAAAGGCAAGAGCTGCCTGTCCAGGGGGTCTTGGTGATACTTCATGTGCATAGAGAGAGTCAAGCTCCTGGGAGCTTAGGGAGCAAAGCCATCATCCATAGGCATACAGTTGCTTAATAAGAATCCCCAATGTGCTTCCCCCACTCCTCAATGGGGGGAGTGGTGGGAAGCAAAGGGAGGAGTAATTGGGTTTCTTCTGCTCTAGAGGGGAACTTGACAGCTGCAGTTGTTTCCACTGAAGGAGTCAGGAACTCACTGTTGTCAGAGGTTCTTTGCATCAACTCTCTATTCGAGAAATATTTGTTAAGCACCTACTATGTAGGAGTAAGACACTGTGCTAGACACTGTGAACAGTAAATGCTGAATTAAACAGTGTCCTGGTCTTTCAGGCACTTACAAGTGAGAGTTCCCGCTGTCACCACAGCCTCCCCGCCCACACACTTATACACACAAACCCCCCAGAGGGCGAGAAGGGGGAGTCGGCAAATGCCAGCAAGACAGTTTTTTCTTAGGTCCTTTTCTGAAAAATGCAGTTTTCTCTCTGAACTCATTTTGCCCTCCTCCCCCTTCCCCGCCCCACCCTTTCCCTCTTTCCTTTCTGGGTTCCTTCTACCCTTTCCCCCCAGGCTCCGTGACCTGCTTCTCTCCCCGATACACCTCTCTCCTTCCCCCCGACCCCAACCTGCCCAACTGTTCCTAAGCTATTTCCCCCCCTGGTTTCCTTCCTTGGCTTTCCACTCTGGGTCTCCCCAGATGCCTGGTTCCCCTCTCTTCCTCCCCCACAACTCCCCTCTCCTGGGTCTTCTTTTCCAGCACCGGGGACAGCTCCAGCCCCCGGAACAATGGACCCCACTTTAGGGCTCCTCTATAAATTCTCCATCTTAGTGCCTTGCCCAATTCCTGATTGAAGAGTAAGAGGGGGGAAGGGTTATTATCAACAGGACCAGCTGCTCTTCTGGGGGCGGGAAGGGAGTCGGAGAGGAAGGAGATAAAGAGGGCGTGGCTCTTGTCTGGATTGTGCGTCCCTCTCCAGGGTAGAGAATTTGTATTCCACCCCTGAGACTGACATCACTGATGTCAGGGGAAAGGAGGTGGGAGTGGGGAGGGGGGTGTGGAGGGGGGAGGTTTTTGTTGAGGAGAGCACGGCCGGAGAGCAGAGCTCCGGGACCCAGGTGACCGGGAAAGCAGGCAGCCCCAGCGGCGGGAGCAGCCAGCAGCAGCCCAGGCCCGGGGACTGGGGTGGGGGTGGGAGGGGGGCTAAGGGGAGGACCTGAAGGGGGGCGGCAGGGCCACAGGGACCCCCGGAGCCCTGCCGCCATCAGAGATCAAGCATCTGGCATCAGGGATCTTCGGACCCAGCAGAAGGATCAGCCACAGGGGAGGTGTCCTCCCGGGGAAGCCAACAAGAGCTCTACCTGCCCCACATCAGGAGTGCCCCTCGCCCTCCCCCTGCCCCGACGCTGCTGGCAACCCTACCAGGCCCCTAACCTCCTTTCCCATCGCTTTCCTCAAGCCTTTTTCTCTACCTCCAGCTCTTACCTAAAAT